ATATATAAATGAATAATAATTATTGTAAATAAATAATTAAATAAATAGTAAGGAATTAATAAAGCATGATTATATTTTTATCTATAATACCTTTATCCTAAGATAGTATATTATTATTTTATGTTTATATTTATATTATTCCCCAATAATTTCATTCATTCTTTATTTTCTTTTTGGCTTAGTCCCTTGATTAATCAGGGGTCGCCACAGCGGAAGGAACCGCCAACTATTCCAGCATATGTTTTACACAGCGGATGCCCCTCCAGCTGCAACACAACACTGGGAAACACCCATACACTCTTGCAGTCACACACACACACACACACACACACACACACACACACACACACACACTTACACACACACACACACACACACACACACACACCACGGCCAATTTAGTTTATCCAATTCCTCTATAGTTCATGTATTTGGACTGTGGGGAAACCGGAGCACCCAGAGGAAACCATCGCCAACCCGAGGAGAACATGCAAACTCCACACAGAAATGCCAACTGACCCAGCCGGTGAGGTGATGGTGCTAACCACTAAGCCACCGTGTCACCCTACCCTAAGATAGAATATTAAAATAATATTGATAATAATTATCCCTGATAATTAACTATATTATTATGCACTATTTTAACAATAACTAGCTAAAAAGTTATTTAATAAAACAAACGATGCAGTAAATAAAACAAATAAAAATTATATTGCAGCCGTTTGTCTTATTAACAAATACAGAAAAATACTACAAAAGGAAATCAAAACATTGACACTGAGGAGGCTTAGTGAAGTAAACACTGGTCTTATTTTTATAGTTTCCACAGTTACAGTGTAATAAAGTGTGTGTTTTTATACAAGAGACCATCAGTGATTGCCAGAATTGTCAATGTTATCTCATAAATACAGAAAGGTTGAACAATAACTCAAGAGCCTCTGGAGTCTCTAATAATAGCAGGATGAGGAACAGGTGTCTGAGCTCACATTACAGCCTCCGATATCCCACAATCCCCTGCTGCAGCGCTTTCACAACAGCCAATAAACACACTGCTAATGTCTTATTTAAGCAGTAAAACAGGACAGTCGATATAGCACTTACTGTAATAAATAATGCCATGATAGTCTAATGTTGGGTCAGCCGGAATATTTATGCTTATTTTTGTAATTTAAAGAAGCTGGTGTGACATGGGCGACACGACAGTGGCTCAGTGGTTAGCACTGTCGCCTCACAGCAAGAAGGTTGCTGATTCGAGTCCCGAGTTGGCATTTCTGTGTGGAGTTTGCATGCTCTCCCCATGTTGGCGTGGGTTTCCTCCAGGTGCTCCGGTTTCCCCCACAGTCCGAATACATGCACTATAGGGGAACTGATGAACTAAATTGGCCATAGTGTATGAGTATGTGTGTGTGAATGAGTGTATGGGTGTTTCCCAGTACTGGGTTGCATCCCCTGATGAATTAAGGGACTAATCCGATGGAAAATGAATGAATGAATGAATTTTAATGTGTATTTTACGGTAACTTCTTTATAAATCCCATATAAAAGAGTTTCATAAGAATTAAGAATTGAGAACGGTTAACTACTGTCAAGTTTTTACGTTTATATAATTTATTATACTCTATTATTTTTATTATTTAAAAAAAGCCTAAATATAGTTATATAAATGTAATATATTTGTATGTATTGTCCATTTTCCTAACTTTATATATATATATATA